CCCTATGAATCTGCACAATCGTACATTAGAAGAGACTGGCTGCATTTCACGGGGGGGGGGGACATCTATGGCAGAAACAGGCCATTTTAGAGGTTGTGGGGAGAGTGAGTTCGATAAAATAACCCCCTTTTTAATTTAAATGCTAATGCACTGAATTAAAATTTAATAACTGAGGAAATTGAAAAGCCAAGCAGGAATATTGGAAATAAATCCAAGCAGAAACAGCTAAAATTAAAAATTCTAGAGAGTAGGAGGACAGAAGCTAAGCTGTCTTATACAATTATATTTTTTTCCAGAACAATGTAGGGGAAGGGACGCTATCTACGGCCAGCCTTGGGCAGTAAATTGAAAGCTGGGTGATTTATTGTTTAATTTTCCTAAGGGGAAAAAGGTTCTCTTTCATGCTAAAATATTTCATAAATTTCCACCTGGCATAAATTCTTAATTTAAAAGTTATGTAGGTCACGTTCAGTGCATCAGCACAATTCTGAAATCTTACAGAAATACCCACAGCAGAAAGAAAGAAAATTACAATTCTAGGTATTACTTTTAATTCCTTTATGAAGAATGTTGCAAGCAGAGATTTCTCATTTACAGAGAATTCTGAAATCTTACAGAAATACCCACAGCAGAAAGAAAGAAAATTACAATTCTAGGTATTACTTTTAATTCCTTTATGAAGAATGTTGCAAGCAGAGATTTCTCATTTACAGAGAATTCTGAAATCTTACAGAAATACCCACAGCAGAAAGAAAGAAAATTACAATTCTAGGTATTACTTTTAATTCCTTTATGAAGAATGTTGCAAGCAGAGATTTCTCATTTACAGAGCAACGAAAGCTGGAAGTGGTAAAAACAAACCACTTGTAATGAAAATGTTTTTTCATAATATAAAAAGTTCTCCCCATTAAACAGATTTGCCTTTCAGAATGTCCCCGTTAAGATAAATCGCAAGGGCTGAGCCACAGCAGCCACCCCCACGCGAGCCACTTGTGCAATCCCTGACCTGCTCGCTTGTTAAGCCACAGAAACCGCCCCTCGGCCTCTCCAACGCACGGCAATCCACCAAAACTAAGGGATGTCTCAGGCTTTCTCAAAGAAAAAACAGGGCTTCTCTTCTGCCCGAGCCACCAGGACGTTCTGGGCAAAACCGGGACTGTGTCCGAAAATGAAGCCATACAAGCTGGTGAGCGCAGAGGTCAAGGCGCCGGACTGGGGCTACTGAGAGTCACTGAGGTTCAAGCCCACCCGCGGTGAACGCTCCCTGGATGACTCTGAACCAGAAGCTCTCCCAGTCATCCCACCTGGGAGGCCTGGAGGAGGAGGAGGAGGAGGAGATGAAGAAAGGCTGAACAGAAATCTGACAAAGGCAGATGGAACCAGCAAAGGCCACGATACAATCCCAGCGCGTAAAGCTGCCACCGATACCATGGCTACCTTTCCCGCTACACACGCATATCTAGCAAAGCCCGGGTGACTGCGGATTTCCTCCGCTTCGGGCGATCGATACGTGGACATCTTCCACAAAATTGTCAACCGCCAGCCTTCGTCCCTTTCATTCAGCCCCACTATCGCCAGTTTCCTTCTCTGGACTTCTTGATGAATTACAGGGAAGCTGCCAAGAGCTTCTGCCACAGGAAATCTTTCAACTATTAATGCTGGAGTTCTTAACTTTCCGCTGATGCTTAATAACGTTTTAACTGCTAATTTATTATGATGATTGCACCTTTTTATAAAGCTTAGGTGGAAGATCCTGTTCTGCTCTTACTCTAAGCCACTCTGCTTCTGCACTGGAGTGACGTAGCGCTGTGGCGCGCAGCAGCAGAACGCCTTCTCCAGACAACCCCTTCAGTGCCAGGTCATCTTCCCTAGGCTTTTTAACCCAGCCTGGAGCCTGGCCATTTTCATGATGCTCTTTTAAACTATGTCATCTTAATGTCTGAGATTTAATATACTTCTATTATGCACCATGATTGTTTGCAAGTTGCAGAGTCCTCTGCTAAAAGAACAAAATAACCAACATTAGTTTCTTTTTATTCACTTAAAACAGAAAAACAGGATGAAATGTTCTGTTACTGTCATGTGCATTTCCAATGGACGGAGCTACCCTTCTGGAAGGGACCGGTGCCCTCTTTCTCTCCAAAAAGATGGTTCCATTTCAGAAGCTGAAAGTTATCTGGCTGTATCCCTTGCAGGGGTCTCCTTGGCTCTGGAAGAAAATGCTGCTGCCCTAAGCCTGTGCTGAGCATAATTCTGTTGCCAGTGGGCTGCTTCAGAAAAACTGGGTTTGTTGCGGCCACACGCTCCCATTCGGACAAGCTCTAAAGAAACAAGCCTCAGAGGCTCCAAGCCAGTTTGGCCTCAGCAACCTTCGACAAACAGACAGACAGACAGACAGACAGACTCTCTCTGCCAAATCTCAGCAATAATCTTGGAGCAGTAACAAAATGTGAAAGCTTGCAATTATTCTGCCCACTTTTGTCATTCAGCCTTCCCAGGAAAAGCAGAATCAGCCACAACCTGGAAACTCACGGACCACGGCTTCCAAGATCTGAACAAACATTGCAAACGGGCTGTCTGAGTGGCCCGGCAAGGCAGGCAGGCCTGTCAGAAACAGCCCTCAGCGCAGCCTTCTGCCCTCCGCACAGAACCCCTTCAGCTCAGAGGCAGACTCAAGGGCCTAGGTCTGCCCACCAAGGACTCCAGTCATCAGAAGGGTCTGGCCAGTTGAGCGTCGTGCTTCCCATGGAGTATATTCTTCCCTCCTTCCTGCAAAGCTGCTTACACACAGGTAAAAATACTGTCAACAAAATACAAAATATTACCAAAAAGCAATCCAAATGCTAGATTCAGGAATGAGGCTCCATAGCAGAGGCCTCGATTTGCCCAGCCACAAACCTCAAGGCTGCCTCAGAAAGAGGCATTTTTCAGATCCATTCCCGTATTCCATTCCCATGAAATAGCAAATATGCAAATCCCCCAGAGTCACCCGCTGGGGGAGATGAGCAGCATACAAATTCATTAGATACATAGATAGATAGATAGATAGATAGATAGATAGATAGATAGATAGATAGATAGATAGATAGATAGACAGACAGACAGACAGACAGACAGACAGACAGACAATGCAATTTTCATTAAAAAAATTCACATCTAACTCCAGTCCAAGAATGAATTAACAAATTGCCACAGGAAAACATTCCAATGCAAAGGTTCATACGACAAAACAGTATCCTTTCTGAAAGAAGGCCCGCCCTGCGAATGCAAGTCCTCAGACGTTCACCTGCAGAGCACACCTTTGAGGGCTTTCCAGGAACCCTACGATCAGGTACCCTGGAAAAAAGCCCCAAAGCCGACACCTGCTCCGATCCTCCCTTCCCCCCCATCTCTGAAGTCCACTGAGGTTAACAGCAGTACAAAAGACCTAGCAAATGGATTATGCAAATAAAAATGATCTTAATTGGGGGCCAATTCTAATGCCCTCAATTATGCATACACACCACATTTATACATCCAGAACTCTGATTTTTCAGAAAAGCGATTTCCATATGGGTTTCCAGATGCTGCCTCAGGCCATGGTACGTCATTCCCTCCCCACAAAACTTTGGTAATATTCTAATCTATCACAGAGAAAAATGGAAGCTTCTGTTCTTTATGTAAGTGATAGGCATTTATTTTTCGTTATTCCAATATATTCCTCTGGACACAAATAATAAAAGGTTTCTTAAATCAGGATGCAGCACTTCACCAGGCTATGTTATGACAGAAGCACATTCCACAAGATAGGACAGGATTA